TTTTCTAAAGTTCCTAAATCTAATCTAAATGTCTCTTGTAGTTACTTGTATATAATTCAAAGATAAATTACACATCATGAGTGAAAACTATCTGCTGTGCTTCTTATAAAGTCATTGGCCAGTTGATCTTATGGTTTTAATTTTAAACACAGTGTTTCAGGGGACTACAACTAGTGGCAGATCAATTTTGTCACCTCAGGGCAAAAGAACGTTTGAATTGACTGTGATTTCTGTCTGATTACCTTCGTGTCTACATTAACAAATATGTAAAAAAGCTTAGATAGTCTTAACTTTAGAAAGATTCACAAACAGACTTAACTATTAGCAACTGCCTTAACTCCATAACGGGCTTTGTTCCACCAGTGGGTAAACATGGTGTGGTTTCTGTYTTTAAAWGTTTCCAGACATTTTCAGATGCTGCCAGGGGCTTCAAACAAACAAGCAAAAAAATAAAAATAAAAATAAAAAAACAGGGTGTCAGACAACTTCCTCTGGTTCTTACCTTTAGCATAAAAAGGGATTAATTRTTGAGGCACTGCAGCGTTAGTTGATAGCCAATTCAAACATTCTCTAACCATTAATCCATGTTTAACACATGGTATATACATGAGCATTTACCTACATACACACATATATAGAATAGTTAATTTATGAGTTATTAGGCATGAATAAACAATAAKTRTGTTASTTTTGGAAGTATTTAGTGGCAAATCATATCYAAATGGGTTAATTTATAGCTAGAATTATCCCTTATCAATTATCTTTTCAAGATTAACTAGCCATTTATTAATGATTAAATAGGGGCATAAAATGCATAGTTATTATAAAGTGTTGTCCGTTTTTTCACTTGCGTTTGGGGGAAACTGAACATTGCATTTTACATGCTAAGGATGGAAAATCACATGTTAGTGGAGACGGGTGCAAGAGTCAGCATCTGTAATGATGTGGAGGTGCAAGAATATCCATAGCACAGGTGATGACTTGCATAATATGGTATGTGAAGATCCCTGCTGCAGATGATAATGGAAATTTAAAGAGAAATGCTACCATCAAGGTCACCAATTTCTCCTGCAAATCTGAGGTTACTTCATCAGGCAAAAGTAAAAATGGGTTTTCAAATGTGTGTCGCTTCATGAAAGAAAAAAAATCTGTAACTGCAGATTATCAATCAGTTTAAATACATATTCAATGAAACAAATTTTCTTGGAACACCACTTATGACAGAAAATGTTATAAATACTGCTGTAAAAAACTGTTTTAGAAAGAGCAATTATTTTAGCTACAGAACTAAACAAATGATCTAATTTGAGGCACTCTTTTTCTTTGGGTTTTTTTTTTTTTTTGACTGCAGACAAATGATTTTTCACCAAGCTGCTTTGAGTCCATTTGAATTTTTAGGCCTTGACATTGACTGTGTCAAGCAGTAGCACTTTGAATAATAAGGTGCAGGAATATGTAACAAGGCAGCAAATGCAGCCGTTCAAGCCTGGAGCCAAGCACAGGAAAAAGTTTGTTCCATAAATACAATTGGCTCTTTAGCTAGTCAGCTGAATATAATGGTGTGCACAGGACAAGGGACAGATCTGTTCATATCAGTCTCTCAATGTTTCTTCAAGGTTTGATTTTTTTAATTTTATTTTGTAAGGGTTATTTTCTTGTAGCTAATTTGAGCATTGACGGATGGCTCCGATCAGACAGAACACCAGTTGTTTTGTCTAAATTTTTCTGTCTACAAACACTGCTGACTGTAGAAATATAAGCCACTCAGATTACATTAAACCCAGCAAGATCAATAAACAACAATGCACACACAAAAAAATAAAAAAYAACTCAAAGCGCATCAATTTTAAACCTCATCCCAGAGTTTGTTCGAGTGTTATTGGAGGACAATCGGTGGTGATTTACAGGGGAGCCTTTTTAGAAAATAACTAACCTCAGAGTAAATCTCCCAAACCTGCTGCACTCAAGGTGTTCAAATTGCCCTTGAATGGACAGAAGATGACAGATGGTAGATTGTTTATAAGAGTTTAAATTGGCGCAGGGTCAAAGTGGGGAAAATAAAGAATCCAGCAGAAGTGAACCTGCTGYAGGGATCCTGATGCAGTTTTTCAGATTTTATTCATCACATGTTGATCTTCTGTAAGTTCATAGTCATTAAACAAGTTTAAGGAATTTAATCACAACACAGAAAAAATATGATTTTTTTTTACTTTAATTTTTATTTTTACCCCTTATGATTTCATAGGCCTTCGATGCATTTATCTACATCTTCTTTGCACTGGAGATGGTGATAAAGATGGTGGCTCTGGGGATCTTTGGTCGTCGCTGTTACCTGGGAGACACCTGGAACCGGCTGGACTTTTTCATCGTCATGGCTGGGTGAGCAACTGTTTCATGTCAGCATGAGCGCTGATTCTTAATTATCGCTGGCTTTTGCAGTGACTGAACCATGAGTCAGCAAGACTCAGCTCCTTCACCCATTATGTTTACCAGTAGAATAACATTATTGTGCAAATAAAAATCCATCTTGTTCTTGTTTTATCCTGTTTTGGGTTGCACTGAGATTAAATCTATCCTAGCTCATATTAGGCATGAAGCTTGCAATATCTTATTAAATACATTATATATA